AAAAAAAAAAAAAAAAAAAGAGAAAAAAACCCTCACCCATAAACATAAAATAGTTCTTAATGACTCAACTTAGTGACGTAATTGAGTATGAAGCACACTGGAGAAAAGAAAAAAAAAACCCAAAGAAGCCAACGATACAAAACAAAACAAAACAAAACAACCGAAAAAGGAAAAATAACAAACGTCGTAATGGCATGTAATCAATATTTCCAAACCTTAGACATTTGCTGCGAGCCTTAACACAAATGGCACAAATGACATGGGAAGTAACTCTGTCATTCGGTAATTCCAAAATGGAGACTACATAATCTCACTCGACTGCTGCTTGTTCAAACAAATATGGAGAATAGGGTATTCTGGTAATCTAATAATATCAGCTATTTTGTGTAGATGTTTTTTCGTCCCCAACAACACAATTTAGATAATTTCGGAGGGGGGGGGGGGTAGTTTTCAACCTGGCGGAGAGGGATTCAACATCTAAGCTGGAAGATCTAGATATAAAGATAGACCTAGAAAGTAGATACAGTAATAATTAAAAAAATGATAATAGATAGCATTTGTATAAATTCTTCATGGGTGGTTGGTGGGTGCTCTGGTGGGGTTTGCTCCTTCTTTCCTATCAAACATCTATCGTCCTGATCTCTCCTCCTTCATTTTTTATGTTTGTTACTCTCTTGAAACACCTCAAATCTTCGGCACTTATATGACCTTATCGTGTTGCAAGTGCCGTAAAACACTTACTAAAACTACTAAAACATAAATTCTTCCTGCTCGGGAATGAAACTCGGGTCTCTTGCGTGAGATGGGGAAGTTCCAACCGCGACACCACGGACGTTGGCCAACTTGGTGTCTTTTGTGGTTAAAAGTTAAATGTTCGGCATTTTGCCAAGTTCTTTTACACAGGAGGCAGTCACTTTGTCGTCTAATTTCAAACTGAAAGTAACTATAAATTACCGAGAAAACGATTTTATGTGAGGAAGCGTGGTAAAATCAGGGGCTCGTCAAAATAATGAAATCGAAGAAACTGGCATTTTTCCGCAGGTCTGGAAATTTTTATCGAATTTTTTATTTTAAATTTTGCTCAACACCTTTAATGCCCATTAAAGAACACATTTCTGTGTCGTTGTTTTTTTCTGAAAAAGCTATGGAAATAACGCAACTTTGGCGGCCTTTTTCTCGCTACTTTTTTTCTTTTTTTTTGAATCCAGGAAACTCCCACCTCCTTCAATCGCCAATATCTTGACTTGTATCCAAGATAAATGGATATTTTTTCCCGTTAAACGCAAGGCAAATGGACAGGCTTTAAGATGATACAATAACTCCATATGCTCCAAAACTGACGAGTGCATGATTCCACCGCGTTGTGACATATATTTGCTAAAAAAATCTTTAACTTCCCCAGCGTCTGTGGTGTAAGAGTCAGGCTATTCCTCGTCGCACGCAGAGGACAGGAGTTCAGTTCCAGAGAAGGAAACTATTATTTTCTTCAAGCGTCTCTGCTGACTGTCTACTGGGATTCAGTACCCCACTCGGCCCGAGCTGACCGTGACAGCCAGTTGACTATCAATGCAGCCTGCTTCTTATAAGATCTTAATTGTATCGATTGTGGCGCAAAGCAATATCAATAAAATAATATTAATTTTTGTTTTGTTTTTGTTTTCGGAAATCATTCATATTATAAGGAATTATTTTCTGCTTCTTGGCTAATTCTTCTCCAGTTGAGAGGAATTTGACAAATCGAGTATGCTGTGAAGCAAAATTTTGTAACAAAAATATCACTAGACGTGACGCGCTATAAAGTTATGAACTCTCGTATATAGTTTGATGTTACGCCCTTTTGCAGTCGTCTGCTTATACATGTATAGTGTTCGAGTCCGTCGTGCACCTTTTGGAAGGGTATTACACGTACTAGATCTATAACGGAGTCTTACATTGAGAAATCTGATGATGGCAACGGACGTACGTGCCGTGCACTGAGATGAAGTATTATGTTTGCTCTCAAACTGGTAAACGTTTTACGGCGCTCGCAACTGCATAAGGTCATATGAACGCTTGCTGTGAGGGAGGTGGAGTACAAGAAGAAGTTGTTTCTGGCGCTCATATGACCTTATGCAGTTGCGAGCGCCGTAAAACCCTCTACTGTATAAAAAAAAACGAAGTTGTTTTGGCACGTCGAGGCTGTCTCACCAAAATGTCGAGGCCGTCAGCGATTTCTGTGACGCGCCTCAGGCACTGAAGACACCTCGAGTGGAAACACTTGGGCAGGCGGGACATTTGAGCTGTCAACACGCTGCACTGTATACCCCCTAGAAAAACCCCCCACCCACCTTCACTTACTCAAACCACTCCTGAATTATCCCCTCCCCACCCCCACCCCCACTTCTGCCCCAGAAAATCCCGACAAAGATTAAACAACAAACACTCTCAATCACTCACATAATGTTCCCTGAAAAACTATCTATCTATCTATCTATCTATCTATCTATCTATCTATCTATCTATCTATCTATCTATCTATCTATCTATCTATCTATCTATCTATCTC